CAAATCAACTTTTACAAATCAATTAAACAAGCAAAAAATAATTCTTATTTCCTCATCAATTAAACAAATCAACTTTTAATGTAAAATTCAATTAAACAAGCAAAGAAAGTGTACCCAGACTGTTGTTTATGCACAAATACATTAATTTCACGCAGCTCACGTCAGGAATAACCTGTAGAAACCAAACATTTGTTCAAACAACATTTTCTACACATCTAAAACCAACAAACAACAAATTATTGAATTCTAGGTACTTAACCAAATATTTTCAAACCAACAAAGAGTATATATGTTAACAACACTTGCTCAAACTTACCAATTGTTTATGCAAACTTTCAGCACGCGGATGCAGGTAGGCAACGTTTTGCATATATCGCTCGAGCCATAAAATGCCGAAACCATAAGCCTACTGTGCCTCTATCTCTATCTGTGGGAGGTAGAAGGTGTTTACTTCTTGTCGTCAAACGCTCCAAGCACATGCATACATGAGGACCACAATCTCCTGTGGCTCCCTCTATTTTTTGTGGCACGATATCGTCTCTGATCATTGTAACTTTGAACTTTGTTGGCTTCTTGTTTCCAGAATTAGTCAAATAATCAATCGCGTCCAAGTATTTCTCCAAATGAGCGCTCCATCCCTTACAAATAATATCTCTCAAATCAGACAATGGTATGTAATTCAACATGCTGTCATATACCATTGTCTTCAGGGATGGGAGCTGAAGCTCGACGAGAAACCAATTACGACGTTCCAAAACAGGGATAAACACCTACAATCATAAATAATTGCGCACATCAAATAAAATTTATGAAAACCTTTAAAATATTCAAAAAATAAATACTAACCTTATCGACCTCCCACCACGCAGGATAAAGTTTAGCTTTTCTATTACCCAACGTATACGTGAAAAGACGTCGGCATAATAGTCCATCGAGTATTTCTTATTTTCCTCAATTTCCTTATTATTAGAAGACGTGACACCCATGCATCAATATGGTATTTTATAAAAAAAATACATATATTAGTGAATTTATTAATAATTTAAAAAAATTAATCAAAATGCAATATAAGAAGAATATAAGACTTACCACCCCTTCGATATAGCCATTATCTTCAACCCCTAATAAAATACCCCACCAAGACCGATCAAGAAACAAATGCATAACATCGTCGAGTTGACATAGGTCAGAATAACACCCCTTGCTCCGCTCATATAGATAAAAATCAACTGCGGTCTTAGCCCAAAGGGTATTATTCGTAATTGTGTACGGTAGTGTTTCCCTCTCATGCTGAGGAATGGTACTAGCCGGTAACACATACGAAAGCCAACTCGCATCCATCATATCGGGCACGGTAGGGGGTTTATCAATATGTCGATATATGATGCCATGTGAATCGGGCTCTTGAATAGCAGACGGGACCTCTTGAACGATGACAGGGGCCTCTTAAACGGTGGGAGGGACCTCTTCGATGATGAGAGGGGCCTCTTGAACGACATGAGGTGCCTCTTGAATGATGATAGGTGCATCGGGCTTCTTCTTACGGAGTCTTGACACTAGTGGGGTAAAAGGATACGTAATGGCACGTGCATGACGTCTGATGCGTGAACCCCGTCGTACAAGAAAAACCCGACGTAAAGCATCTACCTTATCGGGCCGCTGAAAATAAATTAATACATAAATAAATAAATAATGCCGAAAAAATGTTATTTGCATTTTTAGTATAATATTAAACAAATTTACCTCATTGCGTAGAGTATGAACCTGATTCTGCAACGATGAAACAATCTCGCGTAGAGCGGCAACCTCATCACGTAAAGTAGATACCTCACCACGTAGCGCACCATTGTAATCGCGTAAAAAATCCACCTCACCACGTAAAGATCGAACCTCATCACGCCGTGCACCATTATATTCACGTAAAGTACCGACCTCATGACGCAAAGCACCGACCTCATCACGTAACTCCCCTAACTCATCCCGTGGAGGTGGAGAATAGGGAGATAAATGTCGTGGCCTCTTTGCCTGTCGCTTATCATGAGGTGATGGTGGAGAAGAGGCTCGATGATGTGATAGAATAGGTGATGGTGGAGGTGGAGAAGAGGCTTGATCAGGTGATGGCTCTTAAAGTGGGGGGGTGCTCATCATCCGTCCCATCAAAAAACCGCTTACTAGCTTGCCACCAATCAGTGGCAAGCTCAGCCTTTGTGGGTGTCAGCCTCTGTAATGGATAGTTGGCCTCCTAACAATATAAAAGCTCAAACAAAGTTAAACTTGTACTAGTAATAACTTGTTTATATATGATATTATTTGTGTGTTAACTTACATTATTCATCGTCGTATACTTCCCAATCCAACATGCAGATCCCCTTCCAGGTAATAGTTCTAGGAATATCATTTGATCTTTTTATCGCATATGTATGTATGCTTGGGAAAGCCTCAAATATCCAAATCTACAAACAATATAATACACAAACATTAGTAATTTTTAAATAATTAATTATAATTTTGGAAACATTATATATAAATTCTTACCATAAAGGCCCAAGTAAAGCCTGTCAAAGTGTATTTAGAACCATCACCCCGCAAACTTTTTCGGTCCTCAAAGGTAGACGACAACTTCTTCCAGGTAGATTTCCATAGATATGAACCCCACGGAAACAGGTTCCATGCATTTAGGTCATCTACCAATAATATTAGATCCTCAGAGATAGGTTGTCTGCCCTCTTTGCCTAAAAAGCCGGCATGCAAAAGTAATAAATGGCATACTCAGACAACATCAATGTCATCCATCCGAGTAAAACCATCTTTAACAAATAATCTTTTCAAGTCGTCGACGTGTAAACTCAGCTTTGACTTTGCCAGCTCAGGAAAAACCCGAGATAACCATGATGGGCGGGAGATATGACTAGTGTACCGGGTTACTTCATCGTGTCTGAAGCGTAGACCAATGATTAAGCAAAACTCCTCCCGCCCAAAACAAGTATATGCCGGTGCCGGAGGAAAATGAAACCATATCTCTTCATCACCACGTTGTATCCTCTCGGGTAGATCGTTAGTCATGGTCTGAAGAAACAAATGTGTCAACATAACATCTCCACCCGTATGTTGTACTTTCAGCCATGGCCCGAAGCAAGTATCATCAAACAATTTTCTTTGTAGAGGTGTAAGCGTCGATACAATTTTAGTGGCTAGGCTTAATTTATTCCTTAAGGTCAATGCATCCGAAAAAAATTTCTACAAAAACAATAAACATACCAAGTTAGATATACCAAAAACTACAAATTATACACTATAAACAGACATGATATTAAACAGTGAAAACAAAGCCAAATATGTTTCAAACTAGCACGGTATTCACATGCTGTCATTATTCCATCATAGTTCACAAAATGCATCAAATAACATTCCAGAAGTAAGCACTTATATAAACATTTAAAAAGACAACATATAAGTTTAGTGCAGGTTCAAGGACAATATAAAGAGTAGTAGTTTATTCTTGAAACTTAAATTAGCAATACTGTGAAGTTAGTATTTGTCTTTGTTTTGTCTTTTTGTTGAAGTAATGCAATTCATTCAAGTTTCAATTTGCAGAATAAGAGTAGTTTCTGAAACTTAAATTCGCAACGCGAAAATGAAAATCGCAACGAGAAAATCGCAACACGAAACTAAAATCGCGTTGCGATTTTCATTTTCGTGTTGCGAATTTAAGTTTCAAAAACTATTCTTCTGCAAATTGAAACTTGAATGAATTGCATTTCTTCAACAAAAAGACAAAACAAAGACAAATACTAACTTCACAGGGTTAAAGACTAAACAGTTTAGCAGTATTAGCAGCAACCGAATGAATTTACTAAACAATCTTAGTGAAATGGTTAATCTTTATATATATTGAAATTACCAGTAAATTTATCATCAATATAATAAAAATCTAATAATAATACAAAAATTTCAAAATAAAAATAAGAGATTAAAAAACTAACCCTCGGTGGTTGATTTTCCATTTCTGACCGTGAATGGTTGTGAGGGTTGCTCTGAGAGATGGAGATAGACGGATTTCGCCGGAGATGGGGATGGATTTCGTCGGAGATGGAGACAGATGTCACCGTAGAGAGGGAGAGATGGAGATGAGATTGAGTTGTGATTTAGGGTTTTAGGTTATGATTTACAATAATACTGTTTACATTTGTGTTACGAAATTAATATCGTGTTTCGCGTTGCGAATTTGACTTTTGTGTTGCAAATTTGACTTTTGTGTTGCGGATTTGACTATCGCGTTGCGAATTTGACTTCTGTGTTGCGATTTACAAATTCGCGTTGCAAAATTGGAAACTGGGTTGTGAATTTGAGATCGTGTTGCAAATTTGTTGGTCATTTTGGCAAATCCAAAAAAAGTTGGTTAAAATTGTATATTATAAGGCATTTTCGGTCACTGAGGTTATTTTCTCTTTAATTTAATTAAGAAACCAAAATGAATATTTTTGAATTTCTGGGTTAGTTTCGGTAATTTAGGAGGTTCATGGACTTAACCCTGAATTTTCTCATTCTTCAGGTAAGCGGAAAAAATATAAAAATAGAAATAAGTTGGTAAGGGGATACAAACCCCTATCCCCAAGTATGACCACCCATGTCTTTACCAACTAGACTAGGCCACTATTAGTATAATATAATAATAAAAATATATTTTATTTGATTAAGACTCTTATAACCCAAAACTAATCCCATTTTTTCTAGATTTGAAACCTCAATCCCCAATTTCCCAAATCCTAACTTAACTCGTCGCTCCCTAACTCCGCCAAATCCATCGCCGTCTAATCGCTGTTGAGCGCACCAACACCTTCATCCGACTCGCCATCGACTGACAATCGAAACCTGAGCCTCCTTTCACCAAACATCGACGTCGTTTACCGTAAAATTCATCCTAAAGCTTCGCTAAAACTCACCCCGTCGCCTCGGTTTTTCTCTCGATTTCGGCCAGTCTAGACATTGTTTCACCGGACCGCCTCCGCTGTTAGCCTCCCCGTCGCCGTGCACTTAAGACCCAACCCCCCTTGGGTCACCTCATCGTCGTCATTTTCCTCCATCGTCGGTGTGGATAAGTTCGATCACCTATTTCGAATATTTTAGTAGTTTTAAATCGAATATTGGTGTTGATTTGAGTTATGTTTGGAGAAAAATTGTCCGAGGAGAAATCAGACGTCCTCAAAGGCCATTGTCGTCGCCGCACGCGCAGTCACGCGTTGCCCCTGCGCATTGGGCTTCTCGGCTGGTCCAGGATGCTTCTAGAACCGATCTATTCAGATTGAACAGGTTCGAACTGATTCAACCGTACTTTGACTGAATATGCCTATTGACTTTGACTAGGGTTGACTTTGACATTGACCAAAAAGTCAAATTTTTTGAAAAAGTCATATTTTATGTTTTTTGACATTCCGAGTCCGAATCTAAAGTCTGTTTTGTCAAATTCGAACCTGAAAGCCTCCGAATTGACCGTTGAACCCGAACATGCATATATATATTTAAGCATTTTATCTAAGCACATTTTAAATTATGGACAAAGATTAATTTGTATGTTATTATGTGAAAGTGCTCGTGACTCTCCCGTTCGTTCGACAGCTCGACCCAGCTCCTCTCGATTCGTTCGACCTCGTGAGCCATTGATTACTTGTATGATCCGTAAACCCTAAGAATATTTGAATTAAAATATTATCCGGATAATAACTCTGTTGCATTATGAATTAGGTTCGAGCACTACTGCAGAGCGTCGCGAGGCAGATGCTCATTAGACTTATCGACTGATCCCTTTTTGTGAGGTGTGTTCCCTATGTGCTATATGATTTACCAAAATTACTGATTTATTGAATCTTTTAACAGCTCGATATTACGATTTACTAATTTACTGATTGACTGATTATGAACCATGACTATTTGATATATGTTATCTGGTTACTTGTTTTCACTGGAAAATATGATTATGTCGATTTATGGACTATAAAATTTACTGCTTACTATGTGAATTGTTTTATTGAGATACTGTTTTGGGTAGGATACTGGAGTATGGAGGTTCAACCTTGATCAAACTGGTAATTCCTTACGGACCTAAGGTGACCCTTGGGTAGGCTCCGAGGCCCCAAGCACTTTCTTGGGTAGGCTTTCAGGCCCTAAGATGTTCCCTTAGGTTGACTCATGTACCCAACGGATATATGGTAAGCCTTTATGGATGTGATTATGGGAAACTGCATTTTGGTGTACGGGAGAAGGGTAATTATGAGTTTTAAAATTGAACTTCACTACGACTTTTATGATACTTTACTAAACTACTTCCTCATTTTTTTAACTGTTACGTTTTACTTACACTATTGGAACACACTGGGCTCCCAAACTCACTTCCCAAATTTTTTTTTCCCGGATATTTTTGGATAGACACTTTGACCTGACACTTGGAGGATCGACACATCACCTATAATATTTTTATTGTAATGTTTCTATCTTCCAGCCTGCCTTTATTTGGTTACATGTGTCTTGTGTTATTTTGTGTTACATGTTTTATGAAGTATTTTGATTTGCTACTAATGTATAAATTTTATTGCTATACTTGATATTTGATTTACTTACGTCATACCATATTTTTTTTATACTAATGGGATTTTATGTCTTACGTTGTTTGATTTTGCTTATTTAATATTACTACGATTTTTAAAATTATTTGAGATCATTAATATAATTCGCTAGATTTAGTCGTAACGTATAGGCTGGATCTAAAGGGTTCCAAGAATCACGCGGCAAACATCGAAGTATACGCCGTCAATGGTTGTCGGGAGTTTATGGCAAGCGATGCAGAAAGGACGACCGGGGCTTTAATGTGTGCCGCTTGTGGTTGCCATCGGAACTTTCACAGAAGGGTAGTAGAAACTGAGGCAGCCTCTTAGTATACCTAATTCTTCATATAGATATGAATTAATTAGCTGATTATTGTTGCTTGAAAGATTAATATTGTTGTTTTTTGGATTCTTTTGATCATTCAAGAATCCCAAACTTTCAATCACTGTGCTCTTGAAAAGGGGATGATTTAAAATGCAAAGTTATTGATTGACTATAGATCTTTTCGAACGATAAAACATATTTTCAATTGTATTACGTTTTAAATATAATAGATAGGTAAAAAGATATATCAGAGGCCCTGTAGTTTAAAAAAATCAAAGTAGATCTCAAATTATTTTATATTTTGTATGACCCTTAAACTTGAAAAACAAACCTAATATGATATTTTGACTAATAATTTTAATCGTTGATTATGATGTTGACGTGGTAGTCTATGGTACAAACGTGACGGTCTACAATAACTGATGACATGGTAAATGGGCTAAATTGATTTTTTTGTCAAATTTGAAGACCTAATTGATTTTTTTAAGTTCAATGGCTTATTTCATTTAAAAAAAACAAAAATATTCTACATTTAAAATATAAAAATGTTCAAATATATATATATATATATATATATGAAAATTAAATAACTAAAAAATTAAAACTATGTTATCATTTTTTACCTCGGATTTAACTTAGTTTTATTTGTATAAATATGAATTGTCTATCCTATACAAATTTTATTTTATATATATTTATCTCTAATTATTTTAAACTCTAAATGTATTTCTAATTCTATTTCATTATTTTTTTATAAAATTGAATTAAATAAATATTATAAAATCTTATAACAAACAAAATTTAAAAGTCGTATAATTAAAAGTTATGTATAAATTATTAGTAAATCGTATAATTAAAAAAATACAAAAAGTAGTTATACAATTAAGAATAGTGTTTATTTATACAAAATAATTTAGCATTTATTTGGGACTGTCACAAGTTCTACAAATTTTGACTCAGAAAAGATAATAATCTTTTCATCTTCAACATCAAACTGCCTTTCTAAATTTGAGATTTCTGTGATGTAATTGGAAAAGGAAAACTGAAAAAAAGACTTCCATTCTGCAAAACTGAAACCATTGATGTAGGTATAGATCCACAACAAAATTATCAGACCTTATTATCACCCCCGAGTTGAGTTTAGATGCATCGAAAACTTGAGTTTTTAAGCAGTAATCGGTTGCTTCTGGACAAAAGCTATTCCCTTCTCTATGCTGGCCTTCAATTCTGGCTTAAGAGCTTCCAGTGCCTTCTCTTCATACTCGTATAACCCTCCGAGATCAGATGGAATCAAAGCTTCAACCCCGTTCCTTCCGAGCTTGATCCTAGATGCAAAGAATGGAAGATCGGTCAGATCAGACTGCACGAAAGAGCACTCATAGACATCCCCATCTCCATCCAAAGCGCGAAGCGATGATTCGACGAATCTTGCGGCTGCATAGGCCATGGACAGAGTGGCAGACCCTGCACCTGCTTTTGCCTCCACAACCTCCGTCCCGGCATTTTGAATCCGAACAGTTAGTTGTTCCACTTCTTCATCGGTAAAGCTAACAGAAGGTTTCGTCTTCGACAGCAGTGGTAAAATGGTGATACCAGCATGTCCTCCTACAACTGGAACATCCACATCAATGAGCTTAAGGTTTTTCTTTTGAGCAACGAAGGTGTTGGCTCTGACAACGTCCAATGTCGTGACACCGAAAAGCTTCTTGGGATCGTAAACACCCTTCTGCTTCAGAACTTCAGCGGCAATTGGCACGGTGGAGTTGACCGGATTGCTAATAATATGGATGAGGGCATCGGGGCAGTTATCGGCAACAGCCTCAACCAAGGTTTTAACAATGTTGGCATTGATGTTGAAGAGGTCATCACGAGTCATACCAGGCTTCCGGGGAACGCCAGCAGGAATAACCACTACATTCACACCTTTCAGGCAACTCCCTAATTCTGAAGCACCGGTGAAATCCTGAACATGAGGAGGAGTATTGCAGTGACTGAGATCAGCAGCAACTCCCTTGACATTAGCTATATCGTATAGGTTCAGCACTCAAACTAGCGGGGACATCTTGATTAGAAGTGCCAATGGCTGACCTATCCCTCCTCCAGCTCCAAGTACAGCCACTTTGTACGATGCCACGGGCTGTAGGCCACGACAAGACTCCTGGTTTGCTTTCCACGCTTTCGGCGCAAAAGAGCCTTGAAGAGCAGCACTGCTTTCCTTGCCGATGAAAGAGGCTTCTGTTTCATAACTCATGGATGTTGCTGCCTTGAGGCCACTGAAACTTGTAAGTGAATTCTGGGAGGCGAACCTTGCAGCCGAAGGTTTTGTTTGTGGAAGTCGGCTCCCCTTGCTTCCGACCGAGATGGCCGATCCAATGGAGAAGGTAGTTGCGGATGTTGCTGCCATCGCACTCTATAAAACAGGAAAAGCAAAGGGAACAAACAGAGCTAATTATGACTTCAAATCAAAGGCCGAAAACAATAGCAGAGGCCATCCTAATCGTAATAAAAGTCCCGATTTCACTCGAGAAAATTACATCCTAAAAACAATATAGAAAAATGCTTAGAAACAAGAATCCGAAGTTCCACGTTGAAAATGAAAGATCATGTTAAATCAAATAAAAAAACAGAAAGCAACAGATCTAATCATACTGCACCTCAATACAATGAACATCGGAAAAAATCAAAGAAATCAAACCCATATCATATTTCAGATAAACAAACAAAACCCATAGTTTAGATTTCAACAATCATAACTCCAGACGAACAATCAAACATAAAAATGGTAAACGAACCTTTTGAGATCTGAATAATAGAGAAAGGCTAGCTTAAAAGGAACACCAGTAATATATATATATATAAGGAAAAATTGACCCTCTTTTGCGATTATGATATTTATAGAAAACTCAACCAATGGTATTCGAACAAACCGCTAAAAGTTTTCAACTCCGCCTGCTGCTGATGATATTGCTGCAATGTAGGCAATGTTTTCTTCGATTTTTTTTTAATATTTTTCTTTTTGTGTACCGAATACAACGCCGCTGTATGGCAAAGAATCTACCAACAAGATCCGATTCCGGGTTTTCTTTTTCACATTTCGTTAATGGTGACCGATGGTTGAATCGATTATTTCTACGGCTGAGATTTAAAAGTGTTGCATCTT